TGCTGTGAACAAGACAGGCATGTTTCCTCATAGTTTTGTCATGAGGTATAACGGGGTTCCTCTTTCACGCAGTGCCAACCCAATTTGGGGGAATCTTGGAATACGTATTCAGAAGTATGTTATGTTCTTGTTAGGACTTGCTTTGTGACTTTAGCACTGGTAGAGAGATGTGAGCCTGAACAGAGGCTCTGTAATGGCTGTGGAGAAGCAGTTAACTAATTCAGGGAAGAAAAATGCTTTTATGATTTTACTTTTCACATATTTTGAAAAAGAATGGGATGGGATCTCTCGCGACACTTTTGCTTGTTACATGTGACTGATATGAACTGATAAAGTGAACCCCAGAGGGGAATACCAGATGTAATTGTCGTTAGCAGATATCATTAGCGTGACAGTAGGACAAACATAACCCACAAACCTTCTGATGGTTACAAAGTCCTGATGTCCCTGAATGCATGACATTAGGCGTCCTGAGGAAGAATTTTACAAATCTCCCACACTGTGACCAGGCTTGGGGTATAATACCCTGTCTTTGCTAAACATTTAGTTTGTACCGCATGTGCTACCCTTTTACCTTTTGCCCTTCCAGGAAGAATGACTAGTGCTATTACATGACAGTCAGCCTTCTTGAAACAAGTGTCTCAATCTTATATTAAAGGTAACTATAGCTTCATTTAGACTGGCTTCCCTCTTTAGTTACCAAAGAAAGTTACCAAAAAAAAAAAAAAGATTCAACTTGCATTCTTTAAATAAGGTAAAATGCTCCTAGAGTACTGCCTCATCTATTCTCCTTTTGGAGATCTCCTAGTCTCTGCCCTCCTCTCAGTGAAGCTGCCAGTTCATGAAGCCCCACGCTTTGAGACCAATGCAGCTCAACGATGTCCATTACAGGACCTTAGCATAAAGTTTTGCTTTCATCTCAGGCCATGCATACACAAAGGGGTTAAACTACCATAGGTGATACTGCCTTGGTTTTAAGAAGCTGTGATGGAATAACACGATCCCTAAAGCAATGCAGCTCTGCCTTGAACAGAGTCAGGGCTTCGTTTATCGTACCTGAAAATACCTAGCTTCCAATATACTGCCAGCTTGCCAGCATGCAGCTGCTACAGTGCACTTGCAGGTTTATGAGCCCAGCCTTCCTTCTCTGCTCATATGCAGAGAGCCTGAGCCTGGCTTGTTCCCAGTGGGCTAGCTGAGACAGGAAGATAATAGTCCTTTGTCTGGCAGTTAGACCTGCTCAGCCTTACTGGCTTTCAGTTACAGCCCAGGTGACTGCGGAAGAATGTGCCAAAACCGACTGCCTTCCTCCCCTAGAGCCCTCGATCCTCCTCAGCTCGCTCGCTCCCAGCCTCTGGGTGTTAACACTGCCTTTGGCATACACGACAGGGCTGCTCTGACGGCAGAGCGGGGTGGCCCCGTGCGTCACTCACATCACATGAAGCATTCGTGTACTGAGGGGGTTTAAACAGGGGTATTACAAGCCACTGAGTTGGTATAGTAAATATGCCATAACAGACCAGTATGCACCACCAGGTACCTCTGCACTGATCACAGTTGCCTGCTGTATGGAAAAGGATACGTGTTTCATGGGCTGCAAACATGTATTAATGAAAACTCTCACAGCTCCTGCAGTCCTTAACTTAATACAATTAGAGTGACTTATGTGCTGCATGTGTCTGCTGACTCCTAGCAGATGATATAACTATGTTTTCCCTTAGGATTCCACAGAAACACATGTTCTGTAACGTAATATTGTGCTGTACACTTACTGGGTCTGTAATACGCTATTGTCAGGAAAAAAAAGTCTTGCTGTGATATAATTTAATACAATTTATGAACTGGAATTAAAAGAGAAGATGTACTATGCCAGTGAAAATGAGGGATCAGTCCTGCTCTGGTAAATGAATGGGCTTATCCATTCTCACCTTGCGTGGGTAATCTCATATACCTCCCCCTTAAAATTACAGGGATTACAGGATTACTGGGGTGTATCTAAAGCTTCTGAGCCAATGAAGGCTAGTCTTAGCAGGAGCAGAAATCTTTAACCATTGCTTAGATCACAGAAATAGATTCAGTTCACAGCTCTCAGATAGCTGTCCACATGCGCACAGCAACTGCATACCTGCGAATTTTTCCCCCACCAGTCCTTGATTCCTGATATGCCAGTATATGTTGGCAGCGCTGTAGTTTACAAGAATTTAAATTTCTCTAATGAGCAGATTTCCCAGGTCTGAGAAAGGAACAGACTGTTCTCTTACTTCCCTCCTTTACATCTGAATATACCCTTCCTGTATCCGCCTAAGATGGCTCTGACATGTATATCACATCTATGGCCATGAGAGGTATTCAAATCTCAGAGCTGCCGTTTGTCCAAATGCCCAGACAATTATAGTGTCATGTTTGACTTTAAACTTTGGAGTGGCAATGATAAAAACCCAAGAGTAACAAAGACATTCAGGTGTATATTTGTCTTTGAGACGTCATAAAACCCACCAGTGCGGTGAGGTTTTTGCATTTCCGGATCTGTAAAATTGTGCTGTTCTCTATGTGCACTTACAAGAAGCAACAGGCAACGCACACACACACACACCCCTATATATATATATATTTATATATACACATATACACAGTATGTATACTGTTTGAGATATGGTACCTCATATTGCTCCTGGTCAAATTTCACCTTCAGCCGATCCTCTCCTTACCCTAAGAGCAGCTCTTCCACTATGCAAAGGAGACTATGCAAAGGTTAAGTGCCAGCTTTTATTTAAGAACATCCAGCTCCTCTCAGCTGTCCGTGTTCTGTCATGGTCAATCTCCTTTGGCCTTTCATCCTTTTAAAGTGGATAAAGGAAGTACTTCATCATACTGTAGCAATTTCTTTGTGGCAATTCGCTTGCAAAAGCAACTTCAGAATATTTGGATTTGCTTTACTTCTAAAGATACTACCTAAAGCTGATGCATCAACTGCCTGTAGTTCCAGATACTTTGGCATCACTTTATTCAAGATCTGCCAATAATACAATAATAACATAATTCAATAGGTAACTGAAAAAATATAGCTGGATTAGAGCACTGTTCTAGATAGAGACTACTTCCGTGCCCTGTGGCAGTGTTGCATGGCAAGATCCAAAGCGAAAATTCACGTCCATGTCTTGTAGTGACAAAAAAAGAGGGGAAATGAGATGTGCACAATATTTCTTGCTGTTGGAAAATTCACAGCCACCTCAAATGAAGGGCTTAGCTCTGCCAATGGAGTTATTTTCTGATATATGTAGATTAAGTGGGATCATGGATTCATAAATTTGGGTAGTCAAAATAAAGGCATAAGCAAAAGCCTTGTGCCAGTTTCAAAGGGCTTGCGGCCAGTCAAAGATCACTGAACGTTTAAAGGGCAAAAGAGGAGGGCAGAGAGGAAAAAGTAAGAGATTGTTTTGAAAACTTCTACAGAGCTCCAAGCACTGACGCACAGAGTCCATAACCTGCCAACGTTTGGCTTAGGTTGTATGAAATTTATTTGGTGTGATACCTCCTGCTTCCTCTTTCACTTTGAGGACATAAAGGAAGGTGTGGGCAAGAAAAACCTTGTCAGATAAAATCTTGCAGAAGAATCGGAGCTCAGAGAGGAGCTGTGCTCTGTGTGCCATTTGGCCTAAATTTGACACAGCTGACAGCTGGACCTGCCAACCTCTGCGCGCTTAAAGCTCAGATTAGATACAGCCTGTGTTTGTATAGGAACAGTGTGCAAATTATGAGGGGATTTTTTTCAATTAGAGGTAAATGCATTTCTGCAGTACTTTGTTAAAGCTAGCAGCTATGCAAAGAGATGCTTGGTTAGATCCTGACAAGCAACCATCAACCACGCAACTTTGTTAACCCCAAATGTTTTTTTCCCCAAAATAGGACATCCATTTTTCTTGCCTTTTCATGAGGGTCTGGAGAATGGCATTATTTGCAAAGTTATTAAAAAGCAAGCGCTACCTTATCAGTCTTATAGCCCATCTTGGGACCAGGCCTCGATTCCCTGATTCAAATTGATTATTGGGAATACTTTCATTCATTTCAGTGGGACTAAACATATCAGATTCTGGCCCATAATGATTGCCTCCTTTCTCTGTCGATTAGCCTTGGGAGACCTTGTAGATTTTATGATTTTACCAAACACTTCCAGCATCTCTGGATATACTGTGAAAAACTGTTCAGACTTTTTTTTTTTTTTACAGCATTCTTTTTTCCCCAAGAGAAATTGGCTGTATTGCAATACAATTTTTTTTGCCCTAAGTAAATAGATATAGTTTGTATCTTCTGGCAGGAATAAGAAAGCAAAAATAAAACAAGCCCTCACAGTTCTTGGCTAGATGAATCTTCCAGGGTTTGATCCCCTGGCAAAGCTCTGCGGTTTGGCTTTCTCTCTTCTCTTAGGATTGTGTGTATGCCTCGTTTTCTTTGATTTCATAGCACTATTTCTGTTTATCTGCTAGCTTTTGTCTTATTTGCCAGTTCCTTTTCCTTTTTAAGATACTCCATCTACTTGACTATTAAATATTTTCATTTCTATACAGTCCAGTCATTTCCTCAGTTTGTCATCTTCAGAACAAGGGTCTAGTCTATAATCCACCTCTTTTGCTTTGTCTCTCTTTCCTTCCTCTTTCCACAATTCCATTTCCCCCTTTCACTCTGTCATTCCTCTGTCATTCTAACTCTGCTCTTTAGAAAGCTTTCATCCTCCAAGTGAAGCTCTCTTTTTGGTTTTCTTTTTTTCTTTTCTCTTGGCTTTTTTACATTTTTGCTCTTATTAAAAATGTTCTTCTTGGTACAATTATTTCTATTCACTCTTATGTCTCAGGCATTAGCTTGCCATCAGTGACTGACATTCACAACTTGGTCAAAACTTGGAATTTCTGCTTCATAAAAAATTCCAATGTAACATTTGATTTCATCAGGTAACCATGTTGAAATGAAAATTGTTCAAGTGCTTTCTCATCTTATGGTTTTAGAAAACACGTCCTGAATTGTTCATGAAACTGGAAATGACAACAATATTGCCCATTCTATTTTCTTCAGCAAAATGAAACATATTTTTTTCCTGCGAAAGGTTTTTGTCATTGGAAAAGGAATTTTGGACCAAACCAGAGAATATTCTTTTTTGTCAGAAGGTAAGTTAGGACAGAACATTTGTTGCTACGTTGAAAATCTCTGTGGCAACAGTCCTTCTGGGCTCACTACTGTTTCCTCTGAATTCAACTATTGACCTCTCATTGATTAAATGGGAGCAGTGTTAGGCCCACTGCCTAGGACCTGGGAAAGAGCTTTCAATACAGGGGACTCTTAAGCCTCTTACAAACTGCAGGAGTTTATAGCTGCAAGAATCTGTTGCTGGCCTGTGAATCGAGGCTGCTTTGCGAACTTCCGAAGCTGCTTGATTTCTAGTCCTGCTGATTATACAGTGGGGATGAGAGAGATAGCCAGGAATGCTAATCTTATCAGCTTCCCAAGTTAACTTGTTCCTGCTCATCGTTACTTAGCTCCTAGGGAAAAATCTCATTTAGTAACAACTGGGTCTATTCATGGAAGTAAAGTTATTTACCACGGAGTTGCTTTTGCAGACTTGAACCTTGGATTTTCATGACTAATTCATTTTATTCTCTCCAGAGTGCCTTACAAATGTTATTTGGTTTGGTAGACGTTTTTCTAGAAGATATTTCATCAAAAATACTGATTTTAATAGAGTCTAATGGAAATGGTTAAACATATATTTACTTTAATTACTGAAAATTAAAAGGAACATCTTAACTTAAACTCCAATTTGGTGTTCTGCCAATTCAAGCAAAGATGAATGAGGCATATTAAAAATGAACATGGTTCTTATTTTTATTGGTTATATTGCCACCTTTCTCACTACATACATCAGTTAGCAAAGTCTGCTTTCAGCAGTGGAAATTTCATTATCACTTCTAATTCTGGTTTTGTAGCACATTACAGTTTCCAACAGTTAATGACTCTGGTTTCTTTCTTTCAGGTTTAACTTTCATGAAAGAGCATGGAAGAGGAAAGAAATGACAGTAAGACTGAATTATGAACTCTTAGAAGTTGAGAACAAGAACTGACTGTATTGTGAAAGCTAAATTCACTGCTCTTGATTAACAGTGGGCAATAGCAGTCAGCAGTGATCACATGCATGAGATTGCTGAAGCAGATGTAGTGTGCATATTACTAATGCAGGTTAGAAGAGACAAAAAGAAAACATTTACTTCAGTTTTCAATTTATTTTTTTAAGAGTACCACAAATACCACTTTGAAAGTCTGTCTGTTGCTTGAAAACTAATTCCAGGAGTTCCTCACCGTAACTAAAACTATTTTCAAGCCTTAGACAGAGATCATCATACTCCAGACTTCTTTACCAATATTAAACTTTCTTCTTTTCAGTTTTGTATGACTCACGCACTTGTATCCCCTAGACTGGGTCTCCGGTCCTTCCTGTCAGCACCGCTGTCATGGTGACCGTACTCTGCTCACGCCATTGCGATCGTACGTCTAGTGGTTACTGAAATCACAGCGCTTACATTTCCTTCTTAGTTATTCACCACTGCCTCACCTGAGTAACCTAACATCTTTCTGTGGGTCACCCTGTTACAGGATGACTGTAATCGTATCTTACAGAGGTGTTACAGTTCGTAATTACTTAGTTTGTAGACTGCTTTGAGGTTCCCTGACAAAAGTGATTTCAGCATGCAAAATACCACAGCAAAATAAACGAATCTAGATTGTAGAGGTCAGTCCTGTCCTTCTACGTTAACCTAACAGCCTGTGCTTTTCCTCTTTCTTTCACCATTTGCCAAAACAGATACAGTTTGTTTTTTCTTTGATCCTATGGAGTTGACAGTGATCGACTACTTTTAGTTTGTCATCCTGAGCCTTCCCACTTTCCTGGTGATGTGACCCATGACATTAGAAAGATCTGTAATCACAGACAGCTGCCTCTCTGAATAACGTCTAGATACCACAGGGTAGGTGGGACAAGACCACACAGAAGTCACTGTCCTCCCAGTACAGCCATTGGGTCTGGAGGATTGGTAGTGAGAAATAACTGTGTGAGATGCAAAGATTTTCTAACACATTAGTGAGGGACGTTTTCACAAGACAGTTCACTACTCTATTAAAGATATATTTTTCTCAGTTTTCAGAAGAAAAGCGGTTTCAGGACATTTTGAATGTACAAATAAGAGACCCTGTCCAATGGTGGAGTCCCTATGTAACATGAATGGTGTTTATGCAATATTTTCTCATCAGTCTGTGCTACAAGGACTAGTAAGATTTTTGTGTTCAATCTTTGAAAACTGCTGAAAATTGGTCTTGTCAATTTAAAATTCTAGTGAAGTACAGGATTCGGTACTGTCAGGATCCAGTGATTTGTGGTATGCACACGTTCCCCATCAGAAGTATCAAGCACAATAATCAGGACTAAGGGTAACAGAACAGGCTCAGCAACTCAAGAACAGTCACCCTTGTTATTTTCCTCATCCCAAAGCACTCAGTGTACATCACAGTAGAATAAAAATAAACTACACCTCCTAGAGCAATACAAAAATCAACCTCAAAACAAATGATCAGCTAAAGATCAGAATTTCCAGAATAATGAGCAGTCAGTCACAGAAGCACAGGATAATTCAGGCTGGAAGGGATGTCTAGGGTCTCTAATCCAATCTCCTGCTAACAGCAGGGTCAGCGCTCAGATCAGACCAGGATACTCAGTGCTTTATTCCGTCACATCTCGGAAAACTCCAAGCATGGATTCACACAGCCTCTCTGGGCAACCTGTCCCACTGCTTTCCCCCCTGTCCTCATGGGGAAGAAGTTTCTTCTCATATCCAGTCTGAACCTCTCTTGTTTTAACTTATGCCCATTCATTGTCTCTTGTCCCCTTGCCACACGCCATGATGAAGAGCCCAGCTCCATCTTCTCCATAACCTTGTCGTGGGCACTGGGGGTTGCTGTGAGCCCCCCCCCCCCAGCCCCGTAGCCACCCCTTCCCCAGGATGGACAAGTCCAAGCCCCACAGCCTCTTTGCACAGGGCAAATGCTCTAGCCCCTGGCCAGCCTGGCGGCCCTCTCCTGAGCTTGCTCCAATCTATCAATGTCTTTCCAGTACTGGGGGGCCTCAAACTGGATGCAGTTTCTAGATGAGGTCTAACGAGAGCTGGCTTGAGGGGCACAGTCCCTTCCCTGATCTGCTGGCTGTGCTTCTGCTGATATAGCTGGGGTTGCTGCTGGTCTTCGCTCGTTCCATGGCACCCTGTGGGCTCACACTCAGCTTGCTGCCCACCGGGGCCTTTTCCACAGAGCTGCTCCCCAGCCCCCCAGTCTCAGCCTGTCCTGTTGCAGGAGGCTCTTCCTGCCCAGGGCAGGACTTTGCATTTGTCCCTGCGGGCTTTCATGCGATTTCTGTTGGCCTGATCCTCCAGCTTGTCTAGCTCTGTCTGCCCTTGAGCATATGGACTTGTTTCCACCCCAAAACCCTTTGGTGTCATCTGCAAACTTGATGAGAGTGCATGCCAGCACTTTCTCCAGGCCACTGATAAAGATGTTAATCAGTACAGGTCCCATAAATACTGAGCATGATTAATACAATCAGATCATCAATCCAATAGGGTATGATTTGTGGCACTGGCAACAATCAAGTCCAAGGGAAAGCGGAACTTTGTCTAATATTTGGACAAAGAGTCACCATTGCTACTAGGCTGTACTGTCAATACAGCACGTCACTTACTTTCAACAACAAAAGCAGACTTTAAGACAAGGGAGAGATTAGCAGACTGGAGATCTCATGGAGAAAATAATAATAATCTATATGAGACATCAAGTTACGTCCATTGGGATTCATTATCTAAACCAATGAATCCTTAACTTTTACAGCTCTTGAATTCTGTTGATTTCAGTAAGATCCTGATCACAGCCTAATAGATGTAGTCAAAAGCAAAGGGATTGAATTAGGTGATCTTTGGTAGTTTCATATAAGAAATAATAACTGATTACCGGCATCATATTTCTTAAAGAATTCTGCAAACTCCTTTGCCAAGAGTCTGATCAGAAAGATGTGGGTTTTAAAACCTAATCATCTAACCTATTGTACAGGCTCCTTTTGGAAAAGGTAGCATTCTACTACCGTGTCTCCCAGGGCATAGAATAACCACAAAAGGACAATCGTTATTTTGTCACAAGGACTGACTTCGGGGATGGATTTCTCCAGGAACATTGGCAGGCACTTAGAGCACAAAACTCCTGCTTTGGAGCTCACTGGCGTTTAAGTTTGAAGGCCTTGAGGGCAAGACTCAAGGAACAGTATTTACTTTAACTTTGGGTTGATTGTGTCTTCACTAGTTTTGCTTTGGTAAACTTAATTGCAATAACTAAGTCATTTACATAGCGTTGGCAGCCACAGTGGTCAATTCACGTAGCTCTTGGGTTGTCTGAGCAAGGATAATCTTCTGTTGTTCTTGTTTGAATTCTGTAAATCAGCTAACAGCTGGAGGTGCTATATAAATCACAAGATAGTGTCAGCAAGTTCTGGGCTTGTGCTTTACTAATACAAAGTAACATACTCTGTCATCCAATACTTTTACATGTATAGTAGCTATTCATAAAACTGCAATGTACAGGAAATTGTTTGGATTTAGGAACCCTCTGCAATGGAAAACCAGCTAACATGCAACAAGAACTTGTCTTTCTCCTGAAGAAATACCTCCTCATTAGTCAATGCACAAAGTAGCCTAGACTTTAACCAAAGTGGAAGAGGCTTACATGAATAATGCTTTCTGTTCAAATCTGCTCAAAACTTTGGACACTGTTACCCCTATTTAGAAAGAACATTCTGGAAACTTTCCTGTAAAATGCACTAAGCTCACTCCTAAAGCAAGGCATTAGTACATATCCACAGGAATAGCATAATCTGGTGTCATCCTACAACTGCACAGCACAAATTTAATTCTACCTTCTATGTTAAATTCTCTGGTTTCCTGAGATTGCTTTGTGCAACAGAAACTAAAATTGCCATACCCATTATCAGCCCAGTATCTGTGCGGAAAGATACATATCCAATTTAATGTCCAATTATAAAGCCTGTTGTAAGTAAAACAAATGCATGTTCTTGAGCTTATAGAATTAATAGTGTAGAATATGTTCTCGCTCTGTTTCAAGGTTGCATGTTACCTGCAAATTTGATCTTTGGGCCAAGTTCAAGTTTTCCTTAACTCTGAACTACAAATGCATGAAGCTCTCTCCAGAGCAAAGGGATATTTCAGCATGTCTGAGAAATGACATGTTTCAGGCCAGTATAGCTCCTCTTGGGCCATACATGACAACCTTGTATCAAGGATCAGGAATTCTTCTCTTTCCTCGAGCTAAAACAGAGAGAAAAATCTTAGGCGTGTTGTTGTCTGTAAAGATATCTCATTTTGTATAAAACTTAAGCATGGAAGCAAGCTTGGATGCATTTCTGTGCTTATGCCAAACACAGTACATGCACAGGGAGGTCCAGGCTGCCCAGATGCACTGAACTTACTGCAGACATTTCTGTGCAGATGATCTGTGCAGGTGCAATAAATCCACTCCTAGAAGACTTGCATTCACTCTGCAGGTACAGCAGAAGTTGTGTCCCTCCTGCAGCTTGAGCCATTTGCTTATGATTTCTGCATGTCCATGTTCAGTAGCCCTGTTGGGGCCATTGCTTCAGCTCTGTTCCAGCTGGGCTGTCAGATGCCCACGCATCCCAGCATCCAGAAATTCTTGAAGAACATACATATTTCCCAGTTTTTCTGTGTATGAAATTTTGGGGTAGTGAATGAAATCAGAAGCAAGGAAATGCAGATGGCATAATACAGTAAACACAGGTTAATCTTACTACTGTTGGCAGACATTGAACCTACATGTCCCCTTCTTAAATATGCTGAGACATATCTGAGGGAATTCAGTAACTTATATTAATGGGAGTTAAGTCCCTTAATTATTTTCAAAAAATAGCCTCCAAATTTGGTCTATGGCCTTTTTCAGTCTTGTTAGAAAATAAGAGAGTAGATGGACTAAGAAGAGGAATTAAAAACAAAACCATAAATACTTATAATTTCACATAAATATATAAAAATAATATAAATATTTCTACCAAATAGCAGTTACTTCTTACCATATATAAATATTGTGGAGACGCAATGACTTATATCATAGGCTGTATTATTAAAATAATATATTAAATAAATGACTATCTCTACTTAAAAAATATAGCTTTGAGATTCCACAGCATAAAGTAAGTACAGTCTATTTATTCTGTAGAGGCTGCATTGACCAATCTTGTCTCCAGGAAACTACAACACTGCTCTCCGTTTGGAAGAAGTGCTTGGATGTCTTTTGCAAAAACAAACACTTGGATGCAATTTCTTAGATGACAAGATATCACTGAGGGTGACTGCCTGCCTTGGAGGTTTTAAGTTTTCTCTGTTCTGGTGAGGCTTCTTTGTACACCTCCTTTTTTTTCTTGTAGGCCAGTTTATACCGACACCTCAAAGGCTTAAGGCTTTTTCCTTCCCTCCCTCTACTTGCTTTGCTTTTCTATCACCACATGCTGCACATGCGAGGTGGAGCTGCCTTTTAACTTCAGAGATCAGCACGATAGGAGGGCAGTGGAAATCAAACAAACCTTCAAAAACACAAGGGCGGTGAGGCACCCACAAAACTAGCACTCAGATCCAAAACTAGATGGGTGGCCAGCTTTATCCCAGACAGTCCATCAACAGCCTAACCACAGGTCAGACCAACTCCAGCATTGCTCATACTGTCCTGTGGCATTCACCAAGAAGCCAGATATTTCTGCCTAAGGAATTTCCTCAGCAAGGATTGCCTTTAAAGACGGAGGGAGAAGTCAATCTGCTAGAGAAAATGTACACATATGCCACCTAATTAAAGGCTCGGAAAAAAAAAAGTAAATCAAATCAATGTTCTTGATTGAATTATCATGGGAAAATGGGAATAAGCCTTCGATCTCATTTCACATCAGCCCGAGTTTTCCAGAACTTGAGGAGAAAAATGTTTAAAAATGCCCAGAATGGTTTGTTTTCTTATCTAAATTTGCTAATTTGTGGTCCTATTAATTCAGTCCTTGCCCATTCAGTAGACATTATAAACACCTAAAACATTATTGTTTGACATTTGCCTACTGAAGACACGTTCTATTGCTCTTTATTTCATTTCATTGGTATAAGATCCAGGTACTTTTGGCAGGTAGTGAGCTATATTATTATTATTATGCATGCAAACACTCACAAGCTAGAGATTCATTTGAGCCAATATGACTACTGTTAAGCACAAAAAAAGACAGTCCCAGCTGCAAAGAGCCTGCAGTCAAAGACAATAGACAATGCACTCGCATTCATTCAATACAAATTTCAGCATCCATTGCTTGATTCAGTAGATTTAGAATCTGAAAACTGTTTTATGGGGGCACCCATACGGCACTTAGTGCCAGTCCCAGTGGGCAGAAGACTCCTCCCCCTGCACAAGCATGCACAGAGGCGCTTACAAGTCTGTCGGGCAGGGTCTGTGCTCAGCTCTGAGAGCAGCATCTGGAAAAAGCGGCTCCATGTTGGTAGTAGCATGTGGGCATTAAATGACCACAATAAAAATAAAAATTGTTTCATCACATTTTGCACATATACCACATGCAGAGATTCATATTTTTTAATTGATGTGTTTTCAAAGAAACAGCAGGACAGTGCGGTGTTCTAGCTTTTCAGCTATTGTCCAAATTTGTGCTTTAAAGTGAATTCCACTAAGATTTCAAAAGCCCATGCTAAGCGTACCTGGTCTCCTTCCTTTCACAGAATGCTTTTATATGTGAGCTTTCCCACCTATTTATGCTTCTGTCAATTAAACAGAAATGGCTGGTTTTGTAATAAGAAAAAGTGTGATTTCCAGTTCTTGATCCAATTTCTTGTTAACAGATTTTTTTGAATATAAAACACACATAGGAACTTGGGCAAGGTATGGTTTTAAGGAACTAGTACAGAAAATGTGCTTATGGCAAAGTGTTTCAATTGTGTTTTTTGAGGTGTGTAAGTAGCTTTCTTAGGATGAGCTAGCTGGGGGATGCTGAACAGGAAAGAAAGAAGTTGGTAAAACTGCAGGGAATTTTGCCTGTAGTTCTGCACTGATTTCTGTGGAGCAGATGAGGGAAAGGAATACCTCGCACTTTTGTGTAATTGGCTTTCACTAAGCTGAGTAGTAAAATCTTTGATTAATATATGCCTGCAACTTCCAATCAGCTAAGCTATGTGTTATGCAGTTATAAGGTATCTGTGATACCTACTGACTAGAACAAGGCACGCATTAACTTTTTGTCAAAGAACAAAGTGAAATTCTGCATAATCCCCATGTTATGGCTCCTGTTCTCTCTAGTTTAATCTACAACACTGGGAATTTGTTATACAACAAGAAACACATTTTAGGAATTGTCACATTTTGTAATTCCTTTTTGTGTTTAGAGTGTCATAAGCATTGTGGCTCTGGTTCAAGCCAACTGCAGCCTGGAAAATGAAATATAATCTAAAAATATCATAAAAATGGAAATTTTCAGCGTTAATCTCATGTAAGTCTTTTACATTCTGTAGTCAAACTATCTGAACCTGAAAGGGAATCCAACTGAAAACCAAGGCTCTTTACTGTTATTTGCAGTTTGTCACATCAAACCAGACTGTACCCTTGGGTCCTAGGCATGAAAGAGTCTTTGTGAGGAGACCTTGCCCCATCCAAGGACCTATCAAAAAACATGCAGAAGCTTTCATGACAGGGTGCCTCTATACTGAAGGAAAGGACAGAGGGTAAGGAGCGCAAAGGAGGCTGAGAGGAAGAATGGCTCAATAGTTTAAGGCAACAGTTTAAAATTCAGGCAATCTGCGTTTGCAGTTCCTCCCCTACTACCAGTTTCTGGTGAAACCCTGGGCACATCCCTTACTCTGTATTTTGGATTGTCAGCTGCGAAACGGGGAGATCAGCTCTCAGCAGAACTGTTGCATGGATAATTACAAAGAAAGGAAGGAAGGAGGTATGGGTTATAGCTGTCCTAGGACAGATAACAAAGCTATTGGGGAGCGCAGATATGATCACCCCCGCAGTCCTATGCAGATCCTTCGGCAAAAACAGCCACCTCCTGGATATGCCTCTTTGGGACCTCCAACAGCTTCTGAGGAAGGAAGGCCAAGCAGGGTGTGCTTTGCTGTTAAGTGTCTGGGGCCTGTGTGCCAATGTTATGGACGTGAAGTGGAAGAGCTAATGGGACTTTTTTTCCCTCTCTCCCCTCTTTCAATTATGCACAATTCTGTAAGTTACACAGGATGTACGTCAGGGCTGAGTAAGAGCATATAAAGTTTGCAAATATGCATTAACAAATTATCATACTGCCAAAGTCATTCGTATTTGTAACACATCTAATACTCTTAAGCAGTGCTGTGGGTGAACCTGAAAGACAGAAGTAGTATTTTTATGCTAATATGCTATAAAATGTCTTAGCAAAATAAGCAAGTCCCTCTGCAGTGGGTGTTTATTTTCCTTGATATGATTTAGAAGATTCTCATGTGACAATCTTTTGTGTTGGGTTTGTAAAATGATCTCTATGAGAATAGAACACTATTATAATACATTACAATATAAAGTTGCTTGAGCAGCAGAAAGCTCCTAATACAGTGCTTCACAATGGAACATTTAAACAGTTTAATACAGCTTCCGCGTACAGTATTTTAAAGAATTGCTACAAACCATGTTTGCAGCACTTTTGGAAAAGCAGGGTAATATTGAGGAGAACCTCCTTACCAGAGAGCTTCCTGTCACCGAACGATCATGTTGCTGTTCCAGCAAATCCAGGTGGGAACATTTTCAAGGAAATGTCGAATACTTCTCCTTTTGCCCAGAAACAGCATAGCTATTTTTAGGGATATTTTCCATTGGCCTGCAGCGCATTTCAGTTGCTGTAGCATAATGGAGAGTGGCATATTGTATGTTACGTTGAATTGAGAAAATGACTATGTTGCATCATGTCTGTATTTGGCACTGAAGGATGCTGAGATATTCATATTTCCTCATACTCGTGCCAATTTGTATGCAACACAGATTTATCATAAATAGAATGTAGGATCTGGGATCTATCCTGTACTCATTTACCCTACTATCAATCAGGTGTAACACCTTGATAGCACACAACTTTTTCAAGAGAGCCTGGAATCAGTCCCAGTGTATTCTGGTCATATTCTGTTTACGGTGCTTAAAAAGAAGACACTGTTGTTGTAGAAAGAGTTGGTATTGTAATGTATACCTTATGGGCTCTACCTATAGAGACTTCTGAGGCTCAAAAATATAAATATCCAAAAATTATCCATCCTTTTTAGAATATTTTCTAATTAATGGGACACACGTTAAGACCCTGCATGAGAACACACTTGACAGAATGAAAAAGGTCACACAGGCGCCCCACAATAGTCAGGTTCAGATTCCCAGAGAAAAAGGCTCTCAAGTAGGCAGTTATGGCTCCATGGTCACCAAGCAGCTCTGACCCCTAAATAAGCTACAGCGGTGTGGGGACTTCTGCACCAGTTCTCCTTCACCCCTGCTGTCCCTGCAGCACCCCTTCTGCAGGGGCGTGCGTTTGGCGGAGGATCTGACTCGGCTGCCTTCCCTCCACGGGAGAGCAGACTGACAGCGGCACCCAGTCGCCGGGCTGCAATGGGACCAGGTAAGCTGCTGCACAATTTCTCAGTGGTGTTTTCCTCCTCAAATATTGCATCATATTTAGTGAGAAGAATAATAAATAAGCCTTGGGCACTCTGTTTTAATCTAAATAACTGTTACTCCTACAACCAGGATAATATTAAATCAACTTTAGATTACTGACGAAATGTGATTACAGACAATTACACAACTGTCTTTGGAGATACAGAAGCTGCAGGTTTTTTCAGTATCTGCTTTGTGAGCGAGAAGGCTCCTCACTCAGTAAGCTACCTCAGCCAGTTTGATGCAAGTCACCACACTGTATTTGCATGGCAAGTTAGCGTAGGCATTGCATTACTGTTCAACACTAAAGACTGTCATTGGCCAAGTAATGGGGACATCAGGAGCTAATACTGTAACTGCCTGTCATTAGAAACAGAAGATTTTAGTTTTCAAGACTATCGTTATTTCAACCTTTAGATACACGTCTCTTCATCCCCTCAGAAAATGGCACGTCTTTTATGTGCAGATCTCAGCAATAACTAAGAAAAGACTTTCTGATTTAAATTAGAAAGATCAGCTATACTCTGTTTGGCAAGCTGAACTGCATATTAAAGTCACTTTTGATTTAGTCGTTCTAAGAGATCTGTCCCTATCACAACTGTTTTCTTTAGTCCTTGGCAGTGGGTTAAAGATGCGCTTGTTTTTTACATCTTGCTTAGGTAAAATAGCAAATAAAAATATTTCCTAATGTTCTTTTCTAAACTACCTTTTAAACAGTTGGAGAAAATGAACGGAATGAATTAATTTAGGCAGTCCAATCTGCTGCATTAGGCAATATTTTAAAAGGCTCTAAGAGCATCTGTGTTGAAAGAAAATAGGGCAGAGGCCCCTCATCCACAGCAAGCTACTTATTAGAAAGGGGGGGCTCCATCAATGTCAGAGAGACCTCTGCCACCGACTTCAGCTAGGTTAGGATTTCAGCCAGTATAAAATATCGGTATACTGATATTTAACCCTATATTCTCAGCTGGTGGTGAGATAAGTTTCAGCTCCTTAGAAGAGAACATTTATCCTGTGGACTTAAGCAGCGACTGGGATTTAAGGCCCTCACATAGCTCCTATTGCTGTGTGGCATGTAATCTGATGTTGTACTTATCTTAAAAAAAAAGAAAATACATGAGCCATATTTTTCTTTTTATTTGCTATCTGTTCAAATACAGGCTGTAACATGCAGCAGTATCACTGCTCATAACTATCACACTTAATTAGGCTTCATGCGCTGAATTTGGGATCTGAATGTCACTCAAGTGATTCTTGCACACTTTATGATGGATATTTAATCCAAAAAACCTGAAGAAAACAGATCCTTTAATTTTCTAATCAGTTTACCAGATACAGGCTGTGAGGCATGGAAATATTTTGAGCATTTTCTATGTTTTTTAATGAAGTGTCATTACAATGAGAGGTGGATGTTACAGCCCAGCTGTTGCAGTGCGCAGCAGTGGCTTTTGTGCTCTGCGCGCAACTTTATGTGTCAGTTTGTGGCAAAACTCCAGGCCTCCAGCCAAGGATGTGTGACAGCGAACTGCTGTTAGAGACATAAGATTTTTTTTTTTTCCCAGTGGATAAACACCTCAAAAAGTTTAGAATGACATACTTCTGGATGGCGAAGAAGGGGGAGAGAACACTTTTTGTTCTTTCTTTGCAAAGGTGTAAGCTGCAGGTTTTTTTCTCCAGGAGCTCTGTGAGCCAAGGGGACCCGCCAGAATCTGTTTGCAGCGGGGTCCGTTTGCTCCTCCACCATTCTGGCCATTCTGCTGTTTTCTCCTCCCTTAAACTTCATCTTTTAAATTGATGATATTCTGCGGAGATGCAAGATTTATGTTTTCTCTGAAAGATGTGGAACAAGTTTTTCCTTTCAGTGTAGACTAAGATAATGAGGAACACACCAGCAGCATTAAAACAAATGCACATCAAATCCTCAGGGGAATCAGATGCCAGGCACGCAGTACTTCCTCCAAACATCTGAAAACCAGCGTCATTGTTCTTTCAGTATGTTTCTGAAGCAAAGGAAACAATAGGACGTGCCCATAAATCCTTCACATTAGGGTAAAGAAACATACCAAGCAGTAAGAGTCAAACTTTATGTTTGGCCAGTCCATGACGTGAGTAGATGTAACTGACTGCTCAGGGTCTCCACTTGCCAGGTATTCTTAGTAAGCAGATAAACACACACGCGTTTTGCTCTCTGAAGTAAGTGTGCGCATTTTCTTTTCTTATATTACCACCTCACTGACAAGCAGGAGAATTCTAAGCGCGTGGTCACAGAAACTGGAAAGTAGAATAAACAGTCCTCCCATCAGAGTCATATACATACTTTATTTTTTTTAGGAACAGCCTATGTAGTACTTCCTTTAAAAAGCCGTTACTATTTGAGGCAAAAACTAGAAAGTGTCCGTAGGATGCTCAGCGTCCCAAGGACGGCTTCAGTTAGAGCTGGAGCTAACTAGTAAACACCTGCAGACATTAGAAATTGATTTTGCTTGAAAGGGAGTTATTTCAAAGTGATTGTATAAAACAGACTAGTGTGTGGTAATATAGTTGAGGTAAATATTTCTTATCCTGTGAGGGAAGAGACACCTATAGGTTAAGTATCTGTGGCTCAATATTTCATGCTTTGCCCCATGATCATTATACCCATTTAAAGTTAGCTAACAGAAACCAACGTGTATGGAAAGAAGGAAGTTTGTACTCTCCAAGACATTGATTCACTTACATGATTACAAGTCCGAGCTTACAGATATTCATACTTTAAATCAATGCACAGTCAAACAACCTACAATTGACCTGAAAAGATGGAATCTGTGGTGTCAAACTCTCTTGTGAGGTGCTGAGCACTTTTGACTCTAAGCAGCATCTCTGGGAACTGAGTGTATTTTCTGGCTCATAGAGTTAAAGTCTTACATAGATAGGGAAACTTCCTGTCAGTGTTGTTCAAGAAATACATTCATATTGTGCCATCATTATGTAACAGAGCTTACTGTTTTTTTCAGGGGGAAATGTCACATTAAAAAAAAAAAAGATGGTACTGTAACAATGCCTTAATAATCTGAAAAACTCCATCACACTAGTATCTAGGCCAGGCAGTATTTTTTCTTTATAAATCCTAGAGACTCCATTTAACAACCTTCCTAACTTTAACCCTGCTTACATCATGGTCCTGCACATGTACCGCAGCCTCTCAGTGAAGGGATACTAAAAATAATTTTGTTCAGTTGTCCCAAGAGGTTGCTGTTGAATGTCATGAAGCACTTTCTAACTTCCAGGTCTTAAACAGCCGCTTCTGCAATGTTTCCAGTCCCTTATAACACCAGGATAGGGTTGAAAAGAATGAAGAGAAACATCAGCAGCACCTGGAATTAAACTTAGTGCTTTCAACTGAACCAGTGTTCCCTTCTCTTTGCTTTGCACCTTGCAATACATCTAAAATAGCTATATATTTGATTCTGCTTTGTAAAATTACTCAATATCTGAAGTTAGAGAGTGATGTCTTAAAGAATGAGATATCGACTAGAACAGAATTATCACAGTAATTATTGGTTGCTCTTGTTGTCTTTTTGTAGAATATTTCTTTCATTTATTTTTAACTGAGTGGATATTGGGAATTCTTATAATTATTTTGAAGATCAAACTCTGCTCTTGGATGCTCATAGCTCAGCCAGTATTTAGCCTTTTGAAACTGTGCCAAATAGTTTAATTAGCAATTACTCACTTTATTTACTGGAACTGTCACTTTATCAGAACTGAACTGTGCTTCCTATATGCAGTCTAGATACTTATATAGAAGTCCTTCTAGACTGCATAGGTATTTGCTGTGCACACGGAGAAAAAGTTGCTACTTTATTAATATTGCAAACCTAAAAAATAAGTACTTACTTTTATACTGTGCTGCAACTGACTCCAACCACACACAACGTCAAGTGTCTTCTAACTGAGTATTTGGGATTTCAGCCAAGAAGCTATGTTTTTCTGCCAGAAGTAAAGTAACACACCAAGAATATTTCAGTACTCAACAGCATTCTCATTAAAAGAACAGAGCTCTTAACAAGTTTTGTGTTATTTTTTCTCTCTCCAGATAATGCAAGTGTTATCTAATCTAAAAGAGTGAGATCGGCATATAGTTTGCATGCATTTCATGCAAACAGAAACTAATTGCATAACTAATTATTTTTAATCATTAACCAGCTTACATCATACTAG